AAAAAAAAAAAGAAGGGCTCCTTTCCATCTTTATGAGGGGACGGCCCAGTGCCTCTCTTCGTGTCTGGACTCTCAGACCCACTGCTTCATCTTTGCCCATCTTGGCAGGGATTCAGGATCCGTTTAGGGAGGTCAGGGCCCAGTCGATACAGTTTAACATTCTAGCAGGTCCTTGGTGCCAAAGCACCCAGCTTGTGGGCCCCGGATGTCCCTTGGAGCCAGCGTTCAATACCTCCGTGGGCATTCTCTCGCTAGATGGACAGCACAACGCCTGTGCCGTGCAGCCGTGTGGTGGGAAGGGCTCTGCATCCTTCCCGGCAGGGGTCCTGTGCTAGAGGCCCTGACTAACCACACTCTCTTGGTGCCCCCAGAATGAAGTGGAGAGTGTCACCAGCATGCTCAACGAGGCGGAGGGCAAGGCCATCAAACTGGGCAAGGACGTAGCATCCCTTAGCTCCCAGCTCCAAGATACTCAGGTCAGTAGCCAACCCTGTCATCCAGGGGTAGGACCTTGTGGAGGTGGGTCACCGGCACCTCTCTGTGTCCTGTTCGTAGGAGCTGCTTCAGGAAGAGACGCGGCAGAAGCTGCATGTGTCCACCAAGCTCCGCCAACTGGAGGACGAGAGGAACAGCCTGCAGGACCAGCTGGATGAGGAGATGGAAGCCAAGCAGAACCTCGAGCGCCACATCTCGACTCTGAACATACAGGTGCGGGCTCCAGGTGCACGCCCCTCACAGGGGCCTCTCAGATTCGGTCTGGGGCCCGGGGTCCTACAGTGGAGATGGCATGGGATCTTAGAATAGGAGCCGGGCCTCGTTGGCTTACTGGCATTGGCTGCTGTTGCTATGGGGTTTCTTCCATGAGAAGACAGCAGCCGTCGTCGCTCAGGGTCGCGGGTGGCGGGGTGGGTGGGACAGGAGCAAGGATCCCTCCCGGCCTTCTTCTCACCCCACCTTGGACACTGCCATTTCAGCTCTCTGATTCCAAGAAGAAGCTGCAGGACTTTGCCAGCACCGTGGAAGCCATGGAAGAGGGCAAGAAGAGGCTGCAGAAGGAAATGGAAGGCCTCACCCAGCAGTTTGAAGAGAAGGCGGCCGCCTACGATAAACTGGAAAAGACAAAAAACAGGCTGCAGCAGGAGCTGGATGACCTGGTCGTTGATTTGGACAACCAGCGGCAGCTCGTGTCCAACCTGGAGAAGAAGCAGAAGAGGTTTGATCAGGTAGGGGCAGCAGTGCCCTCTCCTTGGGTCTCTGTGGCTGGTGGCGGGGACCAGGGTTGCATCGGCGTGGCATCCATGCAGCTGGTGCGGTCCCGTCTGGATCCCGGCCCTCGGGGTGGCCGGAAGCAGCGGAAGGCCGTCTGACTTGGCGTGGCCGGGACACATCAGGCCACGAGGCCAGAGGGAGACGCAGCAGAGGCGTCTCAAGCACTGTGGGTTTCTCTGCCTACCGCTCCCTGGGCCGTCTGCAAACGCAGTCTCGTCCAGCTCTATGAGGAAGGAGGCTCGTTTGTCCTTTCCTTTCGATCCCTTGACACTTAATCGAGTGCTTGTTGAATATTCCAAACGATGCCGTATGTATCCTTTAAATACCCCAACATTTCGTGATGAAGAATTTCAAGCCAACAGCGACCTAGAGGAATTGTCCAGTGAATACCCACCTGTACAGCTGCCACCTGGATTCAGGTCCTAACATGTTGCTGTATCTGCTCTATCTGATAAGGATGAAACCTATCTTCCGTGTCTCATCTAACCGCATGCATTTCAAAGTCACTTACAGATGGCTCCGCACATTCTCACTTGTTCAGCATTGGGTCTCAGGAACCCAGAACTCAAGGCTCACTGCCATCGAGTCCACGCCAACTCATAGCGACCCACAGGACAAGGTAGAGCTGCCCCTGTGAGTTTCTGAGGCTGTAACCCCCCCTTTTTTACGATCATTTTATTGGGGGCTCTTACAACTCTTGTTATCTTCCATACATCACTTGTATCCGACATATTAGTACCTATATTGCCATTGTTCTGACTGTAACTCTTTCTGGGAGTAGAAAGCCCCAGTTTTCTCCCACAGAGTGGCTGGTGGTTTCGAACCGCCAGCCTTGTGGATCCTAACCCATTGCATAACCACTATGCCACCAGGGTTCCTTTATTATAATCATGCTTCTCTCAAGGTAAAAGGTTTGTGCACAGTGAAAGGCACACATCTTAGGGACTCTGATACACGCATACACCTCTGTGATCCAAACATAAACTTTTAACCCATTTTACCCAAATGCACTAAATGTGATTAAATTTAGAGGTAATTCAATGTTTTTTCCCCCTAAAAACCAGTGTCTGGATCAGGTGGTCGTGGTAGGCTGGGCTTCCACAAGCCACCTCCATTTCTTCATTTTCCCATCAGCCATCCTTCTTACCTCGGCATGTCTTCCGGCTTCATTAGCTAAGTGGAGGGCCATGGCTGCTTCCTGTCACACAGTGCAGGGTTTTCGTGTGGACGGTGCTTTATGGCAGCAATCTGGAAGTCTGGTCTTTGGATGGTATGGTGTAAAATGTATAGCTCCATCTTTGGGGAGATGAACTGACTCCCAGATGGCATGTCCCTGCACAGTTGGGTGCCTTTCCACACACACACTCCCCATCATTTCCCTGCTCAGGTTGATGGGGCACACTCAGGAAGCTATTCATGGCACGAGACAACAAAAGAATTCAGTGGTCTTGGGCAAAATGAGACGTTACGCAACTGTGACCCAATTAACATGGGCAGTGTTGGTGGCGCACAGCCGATTCTGGAGTCCAAAGGCAAGGAGATTATAAACCGTGTCTGTAGATAACTTGTCCCCGCACTTGGACGAATCCAGGAGCACACAGGGCTTCTTCCCCATAGGATGAAGCCCAACCTCGGATGTGCTCAGCAAAGGGCTCACCACGGGGTCTTGTGTGGTTTTGCAGTTGTTAGCCGAGGAGAAGAACATCTCTTCCAAATATGCGGATGAACGGGACAGAGCGGAAGCGGAAGCCCGGGAGAAGGAGACGAAGGCCTTGTCCCTGGCCCGGGCTCTTGAAGAAGCCTTGGAAGCCAGAGAGGAGCTTGAGAGGACGAACAAGATGCTCAAGGCCGAGATGGAAGATCTGGTCAGCTCCAAGGATGATGTGGGCAAGAATGTAAGTGACGGCTTGTCATCTTCCTTCTTCCCTTTTTTCAAACCAGCCTCTCTGGTCTCAAGCGATGACTGAGGGTTGCAGGGAGTTCCTCAGTTCCTCCGGTGGGAGCAGTTCGGTCCAGCAGTCAGGGCTGAGGTCAAGGGGAAGGCTCTGGGCTGTGCTCTCACGGGGCCATCTTGATTCCTAGCCAGACAGCCTGCAGGCAAAGCCACCCATTGAGCCTTGTGAGCTGGGGGGGAGGCGGGAAGGGGGCGGTCAGTGGAATTGACCTCTCTGAGCTGACGGTCTCAGTGGAGTCAGTCATCCCATAACAAGGGCTACTGCTCTACCTGAAGGTCCACGAGCTGGAGAAGTCCAAGCGTGCCCTGGAGACCCAGATGGAGGAGATGAAGACGCAGCTGGAGGAGCTGGAAGATGAGCTGCAGGCGACGGAAGACGCCAAGCTGCGGCTGGAAGTCAACATGCAGGCCCTCAAGGGCCAGTTCGAGAGGGAGCTCCAGGCTCGGGATGAACAGAATGAAGAGAAGAGGAGGCAGCTGCAGAGGCAGGTAATCCACGCCAAGGTGGGGAAGGAAGGGCGGCCTGCCCCATCCCATCCCATCCCGTCCCACCCCATTGCTACCACCACTCACAGGCCCGGCCCGGCCCCCCCTGTCCCTGTCACCACAGTGAGATGCCCCGTGGGGCGGGTGGCTGGGGGGCAGGTGGGGTTGGCTGGTTGCAGTCAAGGGCAGAGCCCAGCAGCCCCTGACACCCTCTGCACTCAGCTGCACGAGTATGAGACTGAACT